CATTTTTTTTCTTAATAGAGTGATGAGTGTTGACAGTAAAAATGGTTTAATATGTATGCACATGTAGCATGAGCTGGTTCATGTCCCAGTATGGAACTCTTTAAAATAAATAATAATTGTAGAAACTGTGACTGGCCTCTCTGCCAGTACTGTATGTCCAGAGGCCTTCTGGCCCTTATCCCTGTCCCTTTCTTTATGTTTTCTATCCGTTTGTACTTATCCTTACACACACACACACACACACACACACACACACACACACACACACACACACACACACACACTGCCAGGGGAATATGTTTTGGTGCTCCGAGCCCTCAGGGGAACCCAGAGTTATAAATTCTGGGATGTGAGCTGCTGCTTGGACAGGAAGTGGGTCTGAGCACTGGAGGACATGAAGGCATTAAATTGATCTTGACTGGGAGTGTGCAGGTCACATCCGACTCTCTCAAGAGAACAGAGGGGGTTTAAATCTTTGAATGTCAGTGTATATAATGAACAGCAACAACAACTGCTTTATGGCAGCTACGGTAACTCCAAAGGGACACGACACATTACTCCAAAAAGGCAAGAGCACATGACCAAAACGAAAGACGACGATAACGTTTGGTTGCTCAACGTGGTTTTGTAGTCAAGACCACACTAACTGAGACCAAGACGTATTGGAGACATCTAGGGACATTCACGGACCCCGACGTATTTATTCTTACTATAAAAAAAAACAATATTTTCAGCAAGTATTTGGACACTCCAAGTAATGTTAGCACTCAAGTATTACGTTTGCTACAATCTACAGAAGTTGGTGAAATACCCTTCGGAGGATGTCATAACAGCATTTTGTGTTTTTAAGACTTATTTTTGTGCTTTGTATGCCTTTATTGACATAGCTCAGTGGATAGAGGAGGTAATCAGGGAGAGCGAGCGGAGAATGACACATGAGGGAAAGGAGCCTTAGGTTGGACTTGAACCAGGGCTCTACGATTGGAGTGGAGTATAGCCTACATAAACGGAGTGCAATGTAACCTCTAGGTCATCGGCGCCCCTCTTTGGTTGTATTTAATCATTTAAATGACACAGAAGGTGGGCAAAGTTGCTTGAGTAACACATGGTAAAAAAATCACTTTGCTTTTGATTTGAACACATTTATAATAGAATTATTGAAGCTCACAAGTTGGCCAAAAAGATGGCTACTGATTGAACATAAGCCAAGGAGACCAATATTGATTATCTTTGTCAAAGGCACGTCTGCACAATTTAAATGTAAAAGACAGAGGGCTGTGTAAAGAGTGAGATTGGGAGAGTGAGAGAAGATCCAAGGCCTCCAAAGACTTTTTGATGGCCAGCTCATATTTCCTTTTCCTCCTGTCCTGCTATTCTTGCCATAAACACCAGGTGAGCCAAGTGGGGTAGCTAGCTGAGCCGAGCAGTAATCTCTCTGTCTCTCTCTCTCTCACCCTCTTTCTCTCCCCTAAGTACTCTCAACCCACAGGGTGTTGACTGGGATGCAAGCCTAGTAATACACAATTGCCAAAGAACCAGGCAAGAATCTTGCCAACAGGCCATAACTGTGCGTGCTGTGTGTGTGTGTGTGCGTGTTGTGTGTGTGTGTGTGCGTGCTGTGTGTGTGTGTGTGTGTGTGTGTGTGTGTGTGTGCGTGTGTGCGTGTGCGTGTGCGTGCGTGTGTGTCTGTGCTTGCCAAACTACTTAGAGTGATGGAATGTAAGATAGGTCCTTCCTAAGTGGAGCCAGGAGACACCAGATCGTGGCACAGAGGCGAGAGCTGCTGCAGTGAGACTGAGTGTGATCTGGCTGGAGTGCATCTCAAAAACCCTGGAGGAGAGCTTCATTTACCTGCTCTCCTTATTTAGATCTCATCATTCACTGATGCCCACCGCAATCAAATTACGCATTTTGGGCTTTCCTGTAATTACATCTACAGATTGACACTTCTCATCCGTTCGGTCTGTGGCTTGTAGCTCACCGAGGCTGCTTTTCTCTCTTTTGTTGTCTGAATAAAGACCACGATCATGCCAACTTGCGCAGAGCGATGTGCTGCCGATTTGTTGACGTCATTGGAACATTTATTTTTCTTGTGAAATTTGTTTATTCCAAAGAGAATAATTGCAATTTAACATAAGGTGACTCCAATTATTGTTTTTGAGCCCAATGTAGGCAAAAGAGCAATCCAAAAGTTACATAAGAAAATAAATATAACCACAGTTAACAAGCAGCTGATGTAAGTCTTATTTTGAGTTTGTGTTTGCTTGTTTCTGCTGTAAAGTTAACACCTCACTATAAAGGCAACATTTTTCAAATATTTCAAATTCTTTAAAAGAAAAAAAAAACAGATCCACTGCTACATTAAAAAAAGAATCATACGTCTTTGAAGAAGCAATCTTACTTGTTCTCAGTTTTGTTTTCTTTTGTGCTCCTGTGGTGATAAGTGGTAGTTGTGGGATGGTTTGTTTTTGGTCCAAGCAGCAACCTCCGGTGTTGAAAGATGAAGCCAATGTGAATGTGCAAGTGGCTGCAAAAGACCCGGAAGTCCCATAAACACCCCATATTAAACATTGACAGCAGAAATATTCATGTTCACAGCCTGTTACAAAAGCTATTTTTCATCTATGGATTCAGTAACCAATAGGAATATGATCCAGGCCTTAGCCATCCCAGTTAAGCTGAACTAACTAGCCACTCAATATGTTCTCCTTAGTTATGCCCACTTGAGGGCTCAGAATTTGTTTCAGTCAGACAGCGAGGAAAAGAGCTCTTACCACAAATTGTCTCTGTTCATTTATTTGCAGCAGGCAAATCCAGTTTTAGAAACATTTTCTCCCTGGAGTCCATGTTGCCATGTACTGTAGCGGATTCAGAAGGTTCAGTGTTTAGCCAGCACTGCTTCGGTCTTGAAACCTTTCTGCGTTCCAACCTCTCTCCATTTCTCCGCATCTCCAATATTGATCCTATCCATGACGTTTCTGGTCATGGAGCTGTTTGAAAAAAATTCCAAGGCTTTTTATTTCGGGTAAAATCAGTTATATCTGAACCAGTTCGCTTCTATCGCTGCTACAAACAGCAAACCAAGGGGCGTCTAAAACGACCATGAGGGGGCGCCTTAAAACCACCTACTCCTCTAATCAAAACAAAAACATATTATTCCACACAACAATCTGAGTTCAGAAGGACATACAGGCTGCTGCATTGTTGTCAGTGAGGCCAGCACTTCAACACAGCATGTTTCCTTAATGTCTGATCACATAAGGTCATTTTATGATATAGAGTAGACAACTTACATATTGATCCTTCAACCTTTGGCTCAACCTAAAACACAAGTGACATGACCAGCCAGTTCTTCAATCCTTTCATTTTTGTTATATTTTTCTCTCCTTTTGTTCATCACTTCGTAATTCACACATACTGCTCATGTTTTTCTTTGTGTAAATGTGTGTGTGTAGGGTTTCTTGGAGTGGTCTTAGGTTAGACTCCTTCATCCTAGTTAGACCTCCCAGCACTCCTTTGAAGGGATGTATATATATATATATAGAGTGTAGAAACAGATACAGCTTTCTGAACTCATACGGAAAGTGTCAACATTTGTGCTGTAATATTTGCATTCCAAACTGATCAAGGCTTTTGTTGTCTGTACTGTGCATAGAGGAAGAACTCCTAGTAAGCAGTCACTTTCTATCACTTCTCAAAAGTTCACAGGAAAATGGCAGAGAGAGCTTTTCACAGTTCTGTCAAAAAGTATTTCATCATTTTCAGAGACATTTAAAACCCACTTGATCTCCATTCCAGCCATGTTCCACTGCAAACAAACCCTCGAAGTCGAGCAATTATTTCCCCTTTTGTCAAAAGTCTTCTAATTAACTGTTAATTTATCTGGGCTCTGTTCCATCATATACATAATGCAGCAATATGGCTAAACTTATACTTTCCCACTGCTCTATTATCCCTACTCATCCCATCCGTATATCAAAAGCATTTCTTCAGTCTGTAGTCTGAGTATTAACCAGTCACATTTGAGCAGGTCTTTGGTATTACCACTGACGAAGTGCAAACGCTTGGCAACTGATGTACGTCGCTTATGATTAAAGCGTCTGCTAAGTCAATTGTAAAATTGTAGGATTGTATACCTGCCAAATTGATTGGGAACATCAAGACCGATGCTGACACCGATGTTTGAAATAAGAATTTAGCCAATTGCCGATTCCGATACGATGTTTATTTCATGATTTATTTTGGTGTCAGACTCATACAATGCCAACATTCTCTTGTGTTTGACAATGAAAACAAGTCAGATTTAGTTCAACAGGTGACTTAAGGTATTCCTCGTGTTTCTGGAAACACTGGTGTACATGTCTCTTTGTATTGTAATCACATGTAGTGATTATACACCTTTGTTAATGTCCTGTATTTATATATATGTGCTTTTTTATAACGATATGGACCTATGGGTCTGAAATAAAGTATAAAGTAAAGTAATCTACCCAATAGAAAACCGCTTCCATGAGTCTGTAGTTAGGTGTTCTAAATGTCAGCATTTATTTGATTTGGTAAAACAGGGGAACGAGTGCTACCCTCAGGGCCTAACTGAGCTCTGGCTCTAATACAGCTCCCTAACTGTCGGTTTACACAGGATCTGTTTTGGGCAGCTTTCAGTCTCCACTGTGGTCTTGCTCTGTCCAATGGGGCGCCCTACCCCACTGCCCCCCACGTCCATTTCTGAATTGAAGCTCAACTATGAGCGGCTGTACTCGCCGGTTCACAAGATCACAGAACTACAAGAAGGATGTGAAGTAGGAAGGGTTTAAGGCTGATTTTGGCAAGTTAGCAGGATGAGAAGGACTTAAAAAAGAAAATAAATGGGTTGTGTAAGAACAACATCATACAGCTGATCTGTCCATCCTCTCACTATACAATGTGTATACTGTAAAATGTATTGCAATTACCATCGTCTTTATGCCGTGTTGAATAATTACTTATCTATTTTTTTGCAGAAACCAAGCCAGGAAGTGGTCTGTGCAAACCAGGAACCATTGCTCTGTTTGGTAACGTGGTTTACAACGGGCTGCTCAACGAGCACTTCTGGCACTTCGGGGTTCCCCTCGTCACCAGACTGGTCAGTTTCTACTCCTTATTTTACTCCTCCTCGTTTTTCTCTCCCTAAATTTCACTCTCTCCTCGGGCTTGCCTCTTTGCTCTAGCTGCTGGTTCTATCTCTTCTTGGGTTTCTTTATCTCTCTTTTACACACACACACTCTTTTGGGACTGATGGTCCCTTTACTCCATTGACAAATGATTGTGAGCAGCCTTGCTAACAGAATGCATGCACTAATTACTGTATGTTGCACTGCAAGTGGATCAAAGTGTGTTTCAAGTCATGGAGAGTTTGTACAAACATGTTCTTTTTTAAATCTTGTGGTGTTTATTTGGAGAGAGTTCAAAGTTGTCCTTCGAATGTCAAATATTTTGCAATGTTTGTGCAGGAGATGTTGAATCTTGGAGCAATAGTTCAATGATGTCTCCATTGGGTTTTCATATTAAGTGACTTGCCTGCTCTTGGTTACCTGTTTGTCTACTCGCAGTTTGAAGCTGTTTTAACCTCAACATTATCAGTCATCTCTTGCTCTTGCTAAATCGGAATTGGGATGATTTGTGTTCATTTGTAATTATACGACACAAACCACTTGTATTCAGATAAAATTGAAAACCAAAAAGCTGTTGTGTCTGGGTCCAGAACGTCATCCTGGGTCTGCACAGGTCTGTTTCATTCACCACCTTGAGAGTCTAAAAAACGTAAAAGCTGCTCTCGGCTACCTGAGGCGGACCAGCGACTAGGTCAGCTGCAGACTCAGCCCTGCCAACCCTGAGAAACATTTCTGTGTGGAGTTGAGGTGAGCCCATGTGAAAATGCAGTAGGTCATACTATGCATGTCTATGTTGGCGGCCATATTCACAGGAATCTAGATTTACGTAACTTTATCAAAACATATTTTGGCTGTGATTGCATTACAAGAAATGGATCATGGTGATTTAATTTTGTAATAAAAAAAAAAAGCATGCCTTGTCAGATCAGTCTGCCAGTGAAGACATGCAAACAACTTTTAATGCTTGTTTTTTTTTTTAGAGTGTACTGTACCTGCAGATTCCACAAGATCTGTGTGTGCAGAGTTTGGTCTTGCTGTGTTTTTTTCTTACTGGATGTATTTCTGAACCGGAGTCCAGCCTCAAGCAGTTTGATTCACGTTTTCACAAGATCCCTGGAAATCTCACGTTTGGGAAAAAAACATGAAAACAATGGGTTACCTTACCTTTCTGAGAATTACTTGCTGTTCATTTGGTGCCGGTTTTGACGTTAAGTTGATAGAATGATGGGATATATACGCTCAGGAGTCTGTACATGGTGTTTTATTTTTTTAAATCTACCGGATGCTCTATCCTGTGTCTGACTTCCTGTCTGGGTCATCTGCTCCGTTTAGCTAATTGTGTGCAGGAAGAGGACTCTGTTGAAAATAGTCTTAGCGCATATTTCAAGCAGAGCAGAGCGTTGTGGCACTAGCCAGAGACCGACTGTGGAGCATCCTGTGGAAACACAAGCTCTGACTAGAGAGGCTGCGACCAGCTCCAGAGTGCGTCACGCGGACAGATGACGACGCACAAGGATGCTGGGGGATACTTTGGGTTAGACAATCTTTACGCTCAAATCTTTCTTTACAAAGCATCTGTTTCACCCAGTTTGTGTTCTTGTCATTTTGTGTCACCTAACAACACAAAGGGTTCACAGAATCAGTCTAAGGTAAAGCATGTTGGTAGTGTGTCTCCTTTCTTTCATCTATAAATAACACCATGATAATAAATTACTTTCCAAGCTTCTACCAATAATCACATGTTCTCTCCCAATGCTTCCATATTGGCCCTGCTGATGATTTTCCTTCAGGACCAGTTCTATAAATAATGGATTGGTTTCCAACATTAACACAAACTAATGCAGTTTTAGTGGTACTTCAATTAAATTTGAATTAGTCTGTAACCTCTTCCATGTCACTTGCTGATTGCAAGGCTCTGTTTTATTGAGCTGCTGATAAATGTTATATTTGATAGATATCGATGTTGTCTCGCCGTCAAGATACAGCGAAGGATATTTGCTGGCTCAGTTTGATCACTCACCCATGAAGCTATGATACACACACACATTCAGACTTGTCTGCTTGCTTATTGCCTCTTATGAAAGACAGCTGATTTTGGTTGGTATTGGTAAAAATGTTGTCTTTGCTTTTTTTTTTTGGAAGATATTAAAGTCAGATAATCGATCACTGCTTGGAAGCTGGAACAAAATGTTCTATCAAATCTTGAAGAGTAAGACTTTCAGAATGGAATCTTGGAAATGTGCAATGTTTACTTTTAACACTGTGAATATTTAAAGTGAGCGTCCCTGCACCGCAGCTGATATCATCAAAAATTATTATTAGCTACAGAGGCTATGTTTTATTTACAGTGATGCTCTCTGACGTGCACACACACATACACACGCACACACACATACACACGCGCACACACACACACACACACACACACACACACACACACACACACACACACACACACACACACACACACACACACACACACACAGCTTCTTTTTTTAATGATTCAGAGCATTGCAGATGTTGGGTGTCATGGAGTCGGAGCCATTTAACAAAGATACCAAAGTTAACACCTGGCCTCTCTCAGCTCCTCCTTTAGTCTCCACAGCTCATCTTTTCATCGTACATGCAGTTTCAAAGTGCATTAAAAAAAAAAGATATCAAGTGGGATCATAATCCCCTCACATCAGCTTTTAGAATGACCAACATGTTTGTTTTCTGGTTGTTATTCAAAGATTAGATTAATTAAATTAAAAAAGTAGACTCATACAAGACTTATGCAAAAGTAATGCCACTCAATCATCACTTATGGACCTATGTACATGTGTGGTGATCATCTGTTTCTGTGTTGGGAGCTGTGTTTCACCGAGCCAATGACAGTGCGCTGGTGAGTTTAGGAGTGGGTACAACTTAGCCGTTGGATGCCATTCCAAATGGTGAATATGACGGAGGAGGACGCAACAGCGAAAGGAAAACATTTAATCATAGTGAGGTGAAATGCCTAAAGGATAACGTTGTAAAATCAGTGTGAACCTTGTGTAGACTTTCACTCGCAGACCGCAGAGTATGACTGCTTTCTGTTGGACAGGCAGATGCCAAACACCAGGGGTTAGCTTGTGCTAGCATGCGGTTAGCTTACAGTGTAAGTACAAGCAGTAAACATACACATCACATCCAGCTGTGAGTGTGACCTTCTGGAGGGAAGGGACCCGGTTTGAATGTTGCAACGAAACAATGCTACTAACTACATTTAAACTGTGTCCTGAAAAAAACAACATCATGCAACCATCAGGAATTCAACTTATATGGCAGGCACATTTTCAATACATATTTTGTCTTTTTTCCTTGCCCAGAGTTTAATCATTTTAACCACTGGGTTGACTGATAAGAAGTCTACGAGACATTAGGATAAATAAAAAAACAGCATTTGAATTTTTGGTCATACAGTAGTATCTCTATTAATTTCTGCTTAACAACTAGCTAGTCATGTGTTGTGGTTATTCTATACTCTAGTATTGCTACAATGAAAAACCTGAGTATTTCTTTCTACACAGAAGTAAACAATAGTATAAAGGTATTTCTGTCTCTGGCGGAGTTTTGTCAAGTTTGGGAATCAACCCTGATGATGCCTTGGGTGGTCTGGATTATGGTCTGAATTATTATTATCATGTAACATTTTCAGATGGATGATACATAGACCCACTAGATAAAAAAAAAAAAATTCTAGATACTGTTCATCTTAATTTTGCCATGATGACGTTTCATGTTGGGTGATTAGAAAAGATGATAATAAAATAGGGTTAAAAAGGGGGGGACATGCGATCAGATGTGCTGGCAGTAATTGGCATTTGATGAAGTGAATGACTGAGAAGAGACACACTGCAGTATTTACTCTGTAATATTTACCAAGGATGGATTTTCTCCTCCTTATAGTCCTGTTCCTTACAGAACATAATCCCACCATGCTTAACTTTCATTTCCTTGCCACCAGCTAATTATCAAACATACATGTAAGTGCTCTCGCTCGCATTTCCTTTCCTGTTAAAATCATCTCTCCATAAGGAGGCGGACAACATTTCTCCCTTTCTCCCCTCCCTTCCATTAGCAAGAGCAGGCTACGTGTAAGGTTTACAGAGTGGCTGAGTTCTGTACAGCAGACTTACAGCAGCCTCTCCTGATCTGCTGCCCGAGCTGCTGGTCATCTCGTCTACAGGTTAAGTTATGCAGAGGCAACACAAGGCTGCAGCAAAGCTTCGAGCAAGGCCGCTCGGATCCCTTTGCTTAAAGGAATCCCCTCTGCTCCAGACCCCCCTAATCTCACGGTGCACGGACACATTTTTATGCTACTATTCTCCTTCTTTTTTTTTTTTTTTGAGTCAGTGGAGTTCACAAGACATTTAATCTAGATAGACATTTGAGAAATATGGAAATAATTAATAAGGCAGGGAGAGTTGATGACCCGATAGAGGAATTGGAAATGGTTTTTTGATTATGTTTGTGGAAGGAAACAGAGGAAATGATACCACACTGATTAGTTTGAAGAGACTTTTCTCCAAGAAAATCAACAGCATCAAAAAAGGCCCCAAAGCCGTGTAGGTTTACATTCATGCAGTTAAAGCTAGGCCTGGGCGATAAAACGATAACAATAATTATCGCGATAGAATTTTTTTTCTCAATATTAATAAGACAATTGTTCAATGTAAAAGTTAGATAAATTAAACCTGTAATTGCACCACCCGAACACTGGGGAAAGGGGAGGGGAGCTTAAACAATAGATGCCATCCGACATTAAAGAGAAGAAGAAAGAGACGATAAACAGCCAATCATATCACAGGGATATGGGTGGGCGGGCTTACAGACGTTCGGAGTGAAATGGAAACACAGCTAAAATGGGGAGCTGAGCAAAGCAGGAGGAAACATTGTCAACATGAAAGGCTGCTCAACTTTGGAATGTGGAGCTATTTTGGATATTTAC